GTGCCTCGGTTGCAACATCTTCAGGTGGGCGGGGAGGTACTACGAGCAGGTCAGAGGCTTAGCAATGGGGCAACGGTTAGCGCCTACTTTGGCCATAGCCTTTATGTCCAAAATAGAAGCGCCCGCTTTAGAACACCGCCCCTTGCTCTACAGTCGCTATGTTGATGACTGCTTTGTGATCTGCTCCACACAGGAAGAGATGGACATGTGCTTCGAACTTCTCAACACACAGTCTGAGCACATTAAGCTGACACGGGAAAAACCATCCGGAAATTGGCTACTCTTTCTTAACATTCAAGATCCAGGGTGACTTTCTACGAAATTGTATAGGAAACCTAGCAACAAGAACATTATCATCCACTGCCAGTCCGCTCTCCCTCTGCAGACCAAGCGTGCTGTGGTGAGGATGTTGATATGTAAGGATGACCTTCCAAGAAAGACCATGGATGAGGAACACTCCGTTCATGGAGAGCCGTACATGGCGTTTACTGTTTACAGATTCTGTTAGATTTTTCAGATCTTGCTCACTAGGAATTGCTTTGAAGCTATAGCCATTCTTTTGCAGTCAGTAAGGTCAGGTCTGTGCAACACTTTATAACACTTGCTATTCTGTGATGCTTGTGAAATGATTCTTTATCTCCATTTCTGCACGAGTTCATCATTTTACTGTTTTTTGCGCTGGACGCAACTCTTGAGCTGCGTCATCCGATCAACTCGTGGAAACACACTTCATGGTGTTGGTGCTGTTAAATTACTCGCTTCACTTGTGTATTTCTTCAGATGACCACGACAGATGTTGGAATGTTTTTGTGCGGAGAGGGGGTGCCTCGTCTGTATGTGTTCAAATACCACGACTGCACCAAGGACCAACTTAGTTGTCTCAAATGATCGAGGGAGAGTTTAGAAAAAGGGGAGAATTAAAGGACAAATCGACAAAGGGGGAATTTTTTGCTGCACGAATTGTCAGAAGGTGTCCTCCTTGGGAACTCATCGTAGAAAGCACCGGAAATTCTGCACGGATGGACAGTGTTGAAGGCGTGGACGCTCTTGAGACGCTCTCGCAGAACCCACTGCTGCGAAGCTTATTATCCTGCGCTCGAACAGCCGTCATCCAGTTTGTCACAACCTTTTCATGTTACCGACCAGAGCCGTCTCGACACAAATAAGGAGTAATTTCAGCGACTTGAAATGGTATGTGTTATGTATGTAAGCGAGCACCGGCAGATACGCCGTGCCCATACCGTATCCCCGGGTACAGTCGGGGGATGGCTCCGGTGTCCCCTGGCGGCCACTCCCGCATTGGGGGTCTATCAATAAGCACACGGACTGTAAATAAGCGTTCACTTCTGCAACTAAGATCAACAGGAAGGACGAGTGCATAGCGATTACCAGGGAGCTCGCACCCTTCGCTGAGCTTTGCGCCCTTTGATCTACGCAATCCATACCCCCGCGGCGCCGACGGGGGGGCCCAGCCGCAACCCCTAGAATCGATAATTATGCGAATGCGCGGCGATCGGCAGGGACCCGCATGTTCTGACTGTGCTGTATTTGGGATTTTAATCTGCATTATCAGTCGGGGGGGGGTCTAGTCAGCCTGCTTCGACCCAGCTCTACGAGTAACAATTTTTGAAAACGTGTCCTCTGTGTCCTTAACATTCTGCGGTGAACCCGGTCGTTCATTATTAGTATTGTTCCCTTTCTTGCGTTCGTGTTACCCGCTGACGGCGGCTGATCGGGCTGCCCAATTTTCAAATTCTTTCCGTTCAGGCCGTGTGACCAATGTTCACGCGGTGCCTTATGAATCCAAAGGCGCCTTTGACCGGGAGAACTCTGAGCGTGAAACGTATATAAAGCAACGCTCAGGCTTTAGACTCAGACGGCCCCGGTCCGCTGGTTCCACATCAGTAGAGGTGAGTGTTATAGGTCTGTACGATTTTCGTGTCCGTAAATTCCTTACCCTTGTTTCCTTCGTGGTAAGTGAATGGGCGAAGTGTTTCGATAACAGTATTTCGATAATGTGCTTTTGACTTTCAGGACTCCGAAGAAGGCGATTTTCGCCGAAACGTTAGTCTAATAAAACGTCTTTAACAATCTCGGAAGGCTAAAGGATCAAGCAACAGTATACTACGCCTACATGCCGAGATTAATTGAAAGCCGGTCATGGAAGGACCGTTTTGTTACAGAGGACACAGGGAGGTAAGTAAGTCTGGAAAGAGGGAAGTATTAGTCTACAAAATTCCAGGTTCGATGTCCTCGTATGTATTCGCATTAGCTCGCAGAAACCAGAGCGCGGACGTATACCAGTGTGCACTTTGCAAGAAAATGAACACCTGGAAAGCGATTAAGGTTTGGGCCTTACTTTATGTCGTTTTACAGTGATTACACGTAAGAAATTGATTTTTTCCTCAAGTTCGTTGGGGATGAGTTTCTTAGCGACCCCTGTGCTATAGGACATGTCTGCAATCCAGTCGAAGGAGGAGATGATAAGGCAAAAAGAATTGGATATGAGGTACTAAAATTATCGTCAATCATAGTTATTGTCGATGTTGCGATAGTGTTGCAATATTGATACTTACATCTTGCAGAAAGTTCAGGAAATAAAGAGCGACCCGTTATATGCGGGGCGCGTTCCTAGGCAGGTTTACGAGGAAATGTTACAAAGGCGAGCCAGGAACATGACGGTGAGTCTGCGGTGAAAATTGACGGATTGTGAGTACTGTCACTGTGTTACAGAGGACGTCATCAAGGCCCTCTATGGATGGGGATTTAAATTCGTTGAAGGGAAGAGCGGTTACCCTTGAGCATATTCCGGACGATCTCGCGATGCTTAGCAACGGCAGAACATTTCTCCAAGAGCAAGGTCCGGAACTGCATGTGTACTACTCCGAAGAGACCATCGAAGTAAGATGCGCACGTACTGCAACAGGCAATTGTCCTTACAAATCTTTTTACAGATGGCGTGCTGCACTGGGCTATACGCCATAGTGGCTGATGGTGTTCACACCAAGCAGCCCAAGGAACAGATGCAGTTGTACTGCGTCTGGCGTTTGCGACGGGGGAGTGGAAGTTCCGCTGCTTTACGCAATGACGGCCCATAAGACTGAGGACGTCTACTTGAAAGACGGACACTTGAAGGATCTGTTCGAAAGGCTCCGTCCAAGACCAGTGGAGCGCCTAGGAACTGTCCTTGATTTCGAGAAAGCGTCGATCGCGGCAGCCCGGCGCCTTCTCCGAAGCGAAAGTTGCTCGGCAGAATTCCGATGGTGACCGAGTGGTGGGACACAATAAAAGGAGTGGTTTTCCTCCCCAGGCGACTCTACCCAGAGGTACGGTTTCCAGCGAAGTATTTCTGTTCCAACAAAACACAATTTTACAGGTTCGAGCGCTGTGGAACCCACCAGTAGCGGCGGACCACGTCGCTTATGCGGAATGCAAGGAATTCCTGGAATACTTGCATAGATACAAGACGTGGTTCCGACCGGCTTCCTATAAGATATGTGGAACAAATGGCAGACTCCTCATTCGGACCTGCACGAACACGCAATGTCTTTCCACACAGGAGCACTCGAACATAACGTACCTACTTTTTTGATACGGTGCACTCACTCTTTCTTCAGCTCGCTTGACTCGTCACATTTTGGAAAAGACCCATCCGGCATTGCCACGCCTGAGAGAGAAGCTGAACTATAAGATTTCGAAGCTAAGTGTACCCTGCGGTGGATCAGAGAGGTAGGTGTCCCTTTTAAGAGAGCAAGCCACCAATCGAGCAAAAAAAATTTCTCAGCATCCCAAGGAAGAAAAGCATTTCAAGAAACGAGACCGTGAGCGAAAGGAAAATATTGAGAGGAGCATGAAAAACGGTGAGCATTACCTGCTTAACAAGTTAATTGCTGGCTTCGTAACAGATACATCTTACCTTCATTCAGGTTTGGAGGCATATATGCCCGCGAGGATGATGCAGCCGAGATTGAGATTATCTGTAGATAATATGGCCACAACTATGTATCTGCCAGTGAAACTACATATCACCCTTTTCTATTGCGGACTGTCCGGCGCGCATCCAGCCATGTAGGATGTGCGCACACGGCTTTGAAGCCGTATCTCAGCCTGTCTCGTTGAAACTGTCGTATGCGACAAAAAGTGGCCCTTAGAAAATGCCAGTAATATGAAGGACTATCATGCCTGTGTGTCATTTGATCGCTTCAACAACTGGTGCAGAAAGACTTTGGAACCGCGGAAAACGCAGCCGCACTGACCCGCCCCGACAGTCCGTAATGATGAGGAGAGTATTTTGGCAATGATAATAAATCTTTATGTTTAAATCGACTCTTCACGAAATAAGATACCTCTTACACACATCATGAACTTCTGACAATTTACTTGTAAGCATTATGCTAGAGTGGACAGTATATACAACTCCAAAAGATTGTGATACCCCACCTCCAAGTAGCGAAGCAGTACATCCAATCAGTAAAATACAGAATAAACCCAGAACGCGTGCAACAGAGCGAAACATACCTGAACAACAGCACAACAGTGTTCGAGCAGGCTGCTCTTCTGCAATTGGGCGTCTGTGAAGGGGTCCCCTAGTGATCGATCAATCAAATCACAAGGCAGAGCTGAGACGGACGAGTTGTCCGTCCACGAAACGCGCCGCATCGCGGAGTGGCGGGTGGCAACTACGGCCAGCTGAGCCCCAATGGCAAACCGGCCGCGCCTAACGATCGGCTCCCTGGTAACACTCGTTGACACGGACTCCCAAATCTCTCCTGTCGAGGGTCCCATGTCGTCGTTCCTTTTATTGGTCCCTGTCCGGCGCTCTAACCAACCATGATGATAGAAGATCCGCCAAAGAACATAGGCAGAGATATTGCTGTCAATAAGAATGTTACAGAACTCTAGTCAACTGGAAATGCTCTCACTACAAAAGTCCAGAGACATTTCCTCATCGCATCTACTTGCCCAGCGATGGAATGGAGGAGGGAAAATGAGGGGAGAAGAGAGGAACAAGGAAGGAGGAAGGGATTCGCGGTTGACAAGTAAATTGAGACGATAAGAAATGTGCAGCACTGGCAACGATTCTTTTTCTGTTACTCCCCCACCATTGTCTTTCTTGCCATCTTGGCAGCTTTATTTGAGCCTTACAACTAAGAAAATATGATCGTGGTCTCTTCCCTTTGCTCCTATTGCATGGCAAAGAATGACTTCTATTGCATTTGGCAAATAAATCTTGACATCTACTCTTTTCAGGTAGTCTAAGCCTGTTTATACCTGAATTACGTACCAGATTGTTAGGCTACGTTCATACGTTATGGCAGCGTCTACCAGCGTCAGCCAGCGACCACTAGCGTTCCGAGCGTCCGGCAGCGTCAGCGACTAGGAAAGTATAGATATCAGATCTAGCGTCTGCCAGCATCCACTAGCGTTCTCAGCGACCGGGAGCAGAAAGTATTGGAAGGTAGCAAACAGATGGCAAAGGGTGGTAGACGCTAGATCGATATCTACACTTTCTTAACCTTCGAGATGCTGGTGGTCGCTGGTGGACGCTGACAGACGCTAGTAGACGCTGGTGGAGGATGCCCGCAAAGTATGAACGCAGCCTCACGGAATTTGCCTGCAATCAGATAGAGCGTTATACTTCCTTCTATAAATACACTTTACAAAACTCTTTTCAAAACTTTATTGCCGAAATGACAATGTAATGCACATAAAGCGCTCAAATACACCGAACAACGTTATCATATCAAATACACTGAGATGCTCTAACAATAGTAAAGAACTTTCAAAAATCATGTGAAAGTAGCTGAGATCGAGGCGAGGAATGATACGCAAAATTCTTTCAAGAGCGTTCTGAGAAACTGATTTTCAACTGAATAAACAGAAGCATGATACAAGATTCTAGAAATAGTACGCGCATTAGGACTCGCATTCTGAGATATATGGACCTGAACTCATAAGCTAAAAGAATACTATGACGCTTAAAACGTATAAGAAGATTGTGAGGGTGCAAGATCTATGTACTCATGACAGGAAACCCAAGTAGAAATTTAAAAAGTTGTTTCACATTCGTTTGCTATGGCCAGAGTGAAAACGGCGAGAGGGCTGCAGAGCAGGGACGAAGAGGATTTCACTTTCAAAGAGGGGGAGTAAGTAGGGGTCTAGGTCGTGCGGCGTAATCATATTGCCACTAAGTAGCCATGAAACTTCACAAAACTTGTTCCACGAGTATTACTGTTCGTGTAAATACTGCAAAATTACTAGGTTTTTAGTTGATCGTTGGAAAGCGCCCAGACAGAAATACCGCAGACAACGTTAGCAGTTTTATGTAGGCCCAAGTTACGGGAAGTCAGCGGAAACTTAGTAGTTGTGCCCTCCGGACGAGTTAATCCAAAAGAAAGTGTCGCACGACCTTTCAGACACAGTGGTGGCAATATGATTCCGCCATACGATCGTCTCGCAGATGTAGTCTGCTGCTATGCGCGGGTACAGCTGTACAGTCATGATCCCGAGTGGGCGTGTGAAGGGGCGTGGATTGGAGCGCAGTCAGGGCGGTATTTCCCCACCATTTGTGCTGCTCTAAGTCTGCAGCTATTGATGAAAAAGGCTGCCCTATCTGCGCTCCAATCCACGCCCCCCTTCGCAAAGATAATGACTGCACGTTACTCTCACCATATATGATGAGAAGCGGGAAAGCAATTTTGAAAAACGACCAGTAGGGTATGCGTTCTCCGGAAGACGGGATCACCTTTGAGGGTAAATTACGAGGGTCACGCTCGACCATGCAGTAAAGCTCTTTGCTACACCAGAGAACTTGTTTCAAGAACAAAACGCCGCCTTCTTTCCAAATGCATGTTACGAATCTTGGGTTACTAATAAACGGCACGTGCTAGTGGCGTGTATGATTGGTGCAAATATATCATAACCATTCACATTCTTCAAGCTATAAGTGCAGGATCCGCAGCGGAAATATGGGCAAATAGCCACCGTACAAGGTTCTAGGCGTATAGAATTTCTATATGGAGAAGGATGCTTCCAAATTCCTTCAATTTTTTTCCATAAGCTCATAGGTTCCAGAACAATATTGTATAGCCCTCCGGAGGGTGTGCTGCTAATGTTCTGACTATTGTATTTTACAATCACTTTCGTCGACAACCTCATCGTCGCCGACCTTGTCACCGTGACGGCGCATTCTCAGTGAAAGATGTTTCGTCCTCCTGAAATGACAAACAGATCAAAGTTTGACAGACAACGAATCGATAAAATCTCTCATGACTATTTATAATGGCGAAGTTTCTATGGTCCATTATTATCAAACTTCCCACGCACTTGATCAGGCTAGCACTGCGACTTAGCTTGCAAGTCTCGTCCGAGGGTCTTCTCTCCAACTTGTCTTTTTCCTTCTCTCCTCTTGGCGATTTTATCTTAAATTGGACAGTTCTAACCTTACAGAAGTATTTGGTGAAAGAGATAAGGGTTTATTGACAAGCTGGAGAGTAACCTTACAGAAGTATTTGGTGAAATAAATAAGGGTTTCTTGACAACAACTCACTCGAAGGGAACGATTTCTCCTGAAGTCGCCAAGGTTCATTGGTAAGGCAAGATTTGGATGGGTCAGTTGTTTGTCCATAACGGGTGGATGACCATTTTTCTGCGTCTGAAATTGACCCTTTTGTCCATGTAGATTATCCTGATAGAAACTTTCCACAATCAAAATTTCACAATATCTGAGCCTAGAAAGAAGAGGATCACACCGCCATGTAGATGCGCACCCCTCATCAACAGCATTACTGTTTAGTTTGCAACCTAATCACCCTATTTCTGTCCTGTATTGATTACGTCCTGTCCTCCTATCCCATCGCGCTCCAAACCCCTCCAAATCAACTCGCCCGCGAGCAAGTGCTGAAAATACCCGGTGCTCCAGTGCTTGGCTTTTTGCCCTGCTCGACTCCTGGTCACTACTCGTACTTACTCAGCTGTGCGCATATGGATTAACTATCCACTAGTGGTAGCACTGTCTATATTGTCGCTCAGTTATTTTTAAATTTCATTTCTCGGCCAGGGTCAACTAGCCTTTCTGAGGGACGTTGGAGGACGCCCAGTTATTACTGGTGCGTTACAAGGACCTATTCTCAATTTTAAGAGAGATAACAGGTGGTTCAATCGATTACGGGACTGGTTTGAGGCCTTGCTTTTACACTGCGGTGATGGCCGAAACCTGGAGTTACTTCCTACCTAGCTGATAGAACCGCCTACAAGAGTGGTCCTTTCTATGTGCAAGGTGAACGTGTCCGCAGCTTCAGTATTGTGCCTCATTTTATGGTCAAATGTGTACGAGAATGGAGCTAAAAGGTAGTGAGACACGGGTGCCGTCTTCATACTCTGCCCGCGCTGCTGCACCACCAGCCGACGCCTAGCCATAACCAAACGCGTTACTTGTCTGTGCCCTCTGAATATCTGTCTGACTACACTCCGAGTAGTTGTTTCGCTGCGGGACCTTGGTATCCACGCAAGTGTTGCACCTTGACGATAGTGTGGGAGGAGAGAGGGGGCCCTGGTGTTCATTGCCCTTCAGCCCCATTCCTGTGCACTTTTGAGCGGAGAATGTGGCATGTGACTGCACCGTTACTGGTCCTGGTCCTTGCCTTGTGTGAGTGGGTCCGCAGCTACAGTAGCAGAGTAGCGCAACTGGGAGTGTTCACTTTGCCCTCAACCAATTAGGATCTAGTGCAAGTAAAGTCCTTGCAATGCCTCAGCTGCCGCAAAGTAGGCCCAAGTTTCCCAGCTGTGTTCCTCAAACTAATCGAGCCTTCCACCCACCGTTTTCAGGACAGTCAAATGAACCAGACTAGAACAAAAAGGACACAAAGACGTTGACTGGTTTGTACATCCGCTTGCACTGGAACTCATGTCAATGAGTCAGGCCTGCTTTCAGGGACCACCGCGACTCATAATGAAAAACGAGCGAGAAAGATCTACCGAAGAAGTTGTTTCCCGCTAAGAATCTTGACCCTTTATCTTCACAACATGCTCCCAAACTCTACTACCTGCGAGTGAAAAGTTCACGAACCTCTTGTCTGTCTCGGGAAGGGTCTCTGCTTGCTGCACGAGCACGAGCTGTATTCACACGTCGCAGTGCTTGATGGTCATTGTTCCAATCTTCTGGGGTCTGAGCTCCTCCAGGGTCTTCGAGTGCACCACCACCTGCCTGAAACACTTATTCCTTCCATTACATACGATATTCCTTATTAATCATCTTAAGCTATCCGCAAACTTGTCAACTACCTGAACGCTCTGAAGATCTAATTCATCAACATACCTTACAACGAGGGAACCCGCTTAGTTCGAGAAGTGTTCGAAAAATCTCGGTGACCCTCAAATTGTTTTTGGCTGACACTTCCAAGTAGCGTACGTCAGCGCTAAGACGATTCGTGAAGGCTTTAGCAGTCGCTTCGAAAATCTGAACAGTTAGAGAGATAAGCATGACGTGACTCCCAAGCTGTCGTTACAGGTCTGGCATTTTCTTATAGGATATGGATCGAAGGATAAACGGTAATGCTTTCATCGTTTATCAAATCCTTCGTGGCATGCGGCATACAATCTATTTACCTACAGATTCGTAGTGGCCTAGTGATTGCAGTAAGGCTCATGAAGGAACTTGCGGGGTAGAAGTTGGAGCCAGTGTTTTTTCTTTCGTTCTAGATCTGGTAGTGATTTACCGTCCTACAAAGGCAGAATGCTTAGTAAGCCTGTATCGGGGCTTGAACCCGGAACGTGAGCGTAGTGAGCGCGCCGCTTCCCACTACCCCATCTCTGCCTCCTGTTACTATAACTGAAGTATGAATGGCTCGATGTTTGCTTGTCTGACAGTGAGTGCGTAATGTGATGCCGCTTGTCTTTACAACAGAATGGCTGCTCGTGACAGCCGATGGAAGAAAGTGCTGTCCTTCCGAACCAACCTGCTTCGTGTTCATCGAGCCAAATAAAGGTAGGGCTTGAGCGGACTAGACGTTTGATTTGAGCGTTAGCGTCAGATTTGACCGTCAGGTGGTACAACCGTTGAACCCGCGAACGATAGGGCGTAGGACTTGGAGCGCGGCCAGGACAGATTTGCCACCAATTGTACCGGGCTCAGAATGGCATCATTGTTGAAACAAGCCACTCTGGCTGTGCTTTAGTACGCTCCGCCGCATACGCCCTGTCGGTTACAGAGGTCATGACTGTACGCGCCTTCCGGCACCGCATGTCCTGCCCCCCCCCTCTCCCCCCCCCCGCGCCATCACGATATGAGTAACCCACATTTGCATGCCCGGGCACATTTCAATCAACCGTATCAAGCCAATGGCAGCTTTTACGTTGCTGGACGATTTCCACTTCTCTGACACCCAAGAATAGGAGCCAGAAGGTTTTCTGTTCAGACTTTTTTCCAAGAAAACCGCATCCTGGACCCATAATAAGGTTCCCCTTTGTCCTCTGTTTGAAAAAAATTCGCTTCAGATTGCTAAATACCTTTTTAGTAGGTAAATCACATTTGTTGCCGACAACAACTATTGGTAGCGTGGCTATATCAGGACGTCGCTCGCAGATCTCCTGCCACAGATCCGACATCTGAAAAAGAGGATATCATTAGGAATGAGAAGGTGAGTAGAAAATTTCGTCATCACCCTTTCACACCCCTTCGTTCTACTCAACAAAGTCAGGCTCATGTCGTCTTGAGTTACTGAATTGCCGCGGACGCGGCACGCGAAGGGATTGGCGATGTCGCGTGGTGACCTCGCGACATTGCTAACCTCCCGCGTGCCGCGTGGTGACCTCCTTTCAATATATGCAGGGAATAAGATTTTCAAGACCAAGTGTGTACATTTCAGAAGACCAAAGTTGGTTCACCCCTATGTTTATTGTTACCCATAAAGCTTACTCAAAGACAGTTCTCGCGATCAAGTGGTCCGTGAAATGCCTTCAGCATCGTTGGCCGCATCTGCAGAGAATGTACCACTTTCGTCATTGAAACGGCGAAATAATAGATTAGAGACAACGACGTCCGACAAACTCGTCCAAGGCGCCTACTATTAAAGGGGTCTCTGTTCCCAAGGTTTTTTGCCCTTTCTCTACTGGGGAGTTACTTATGGGCAACTGGTTCATGTCTGAGTACTACCCGTAACACTTGATCGCGGGAAATGATTTTAAATCTTGCTACAGAATCAAAAAGTTGACCGTCTTATTGATGATTGGCCCTTTATTTTTTGTGCATGATTTTCTGGTTAGGCTCTCTACCTCTTTCTGAGGGTTCTCTCTAAAGGACAGATAGAGCTGTACTGTAAAGAGCTGTACTGTAACACGGTGCTCCTCTTCAATGCTTTTCATTATTTGACCCGCTCACCTCCCACATAGCACACGTTTACCTCGGCAGGAAAGCGTAAACTTGTTTCAAGATATTTGACCGCTTACCCTGAACAGTGTTCTGGCATCATTGAGGGATAGGAACCACGCGGAATATCTGGATTTTCTTGTAAAAGACATCTGAGATAGCGATAGGAGAAGATTTCGGGGGGGGGGCACCAAATAGCGCGCGCGCTGGTGACCAGGCAGAGAGCAGATAAGGATTCCAAGGTGAAGCGGGTAAGTGACAGGAAGTAAAATAGGTTTGAGCGAGCGGCGGTGACATCTGGACCTCAGGAAGGGCCTACGAGCAGTTTCAAAGCGGAGATGGAGAGGTATCATCAACAAGAACTTCGCTGGAATCAAAGCCACAACAGAGCAGGCCTTGAATAAGAGAAGTTGGCGATGGCCCAACAAGTAAAGCGGTCCCCCTCCCCCTTTGACAGCGTTTGACTAACGCTGGTGGAAAGAGGAAGAAGATAGAAGCCAGCCATTTGCGTCATCTAATCGGTGGTATTCAATAAGACATCATACAGCAAATATGCGCATCTCATTTACAAGTTTCAACACAACCTTTGCTGCGTGGGATGCGTAGCCTCCAAATGTCCATTGATTCTTCAACTCACTTCATATTAACTACTTGTCGATAAACAGTTCTTGAGGACACATTCCGTAAGTTCAAACCGCGGGTAACGGGGTCTTATTATGTATTCATAAATGCTAATTGACCTAGCTGTGAAGAAAAAAGCATAGGAAAATGTTGAAAGGCGTCAAATAGAAAAGCAAATAATTTTTAGCAGGAGAGTAGGGGTTTTGGGATTTCCTCAGTGAATAGAGATGCAGTGAGACCAGATAAGAGCGACCAAGAGCTAAATGGCTGCACACACGAGGCTGCGTACATACTGTGCGGCAGCGTCTATCAGCGTCCACTAGCGTTCCAAGCGTCCCGTAACGTCAGCGACTAGGAAAGTATAGGTATTGATCTAGCGTCTGCCAGCGTCTACCAGCGTCCACCAGCGACCGACAGTAGAGAGTAGTAAAGAGTAGGGGGAAGTAAGAGGGTAGCAAACAGCTGGATTAGGCGCCGTGAGTTGGCGGCATGTGCAACTGCAAACCGCTCAACTGCTAAAGCTCAAAATTATGCATTCAAATGTACGGTGTAGTGTAACTACGGTGCGGTTGCACGTGCCGCAATTTCAGAACGCTTAATCGAGTTGTTTGCTACCCTTCTAGTTCCCCATACTCTCTACTGCCGGTCTCTTGGTGAGCGCAGATGTACACTCGTAGACGCTGACAGACGCTGGCAACGCGCTAGATTGATTCCTTCCCTGGCCCTCGAAAGCTGGCAGACGCTGGTGGACGCTGGCAGACGCTAGATAATATCTATACTTTCGTAGTCGCTACGCTGCCGGAGCTCGGAACACTACCGGGTGGTAGACGCTAGTGGACGCTCCCACAAAGTATGAATGCAGCCTAAGCGACAGAATAGATATCAACACCGCACAGCAGTCATACGTTCATGGGCATTCATTAGTGCCCTAGCGCCCTTGGCATGCAGTTCCGCGTGGCGACAGTGACGGGTGTGAAGCATTACTTACAAGTCGTAGCATGGCACTACGAATTGATCTGGGAGATAGAGTTGACGCGATGCTGCGACTGGGAAGGAAAGGCTCTATATTCCGATAATGCACACATACAGCCGCGAAGTAACGGTAATTACAAAGGAAGAGGATCCCATCCCTTGGGTAGCTGCAGAATGTGTCGACTGTGACGATATCAGCTGTACAGCATAACTTCTCTTTCGTATGGACCCTGGAAGCCGTTACCGCATGGAAAGGTAGCACTTAGGTTTGTAACGCCCCTTTTGGCCAATATACGGGACTGTATTAGCAATGTAATTAAAGCTGAATTTCATGAAACACTTTCGTAAGATGAAAAATGAACCCTTTTTTCCAGGGTGGAGGCACAGTGAAACTCTGTTCCCTTGAACTTGTGCTGCACCCTGCACAGAAAGTTATCTATGCTCATTTGCCGATATATTATCTTCATT